TATATATATATATATCTTTTGTAAATTATTTTATAAAAAGTTTCTTTATGTAGATACTCGGAACTTGGAACTTCAGAACATGGAACTTTAAACCTTTAACTAGATACATGGCTGGTATTTCATGTCTAACGCTCATTTCCATCAACATAGATTAATTTTAATATTTCAATTTAGCTTATTTTTTATCCTTTTCTAGTTTTAAGAATTAGAAAACGATAAAGAGTTAGTTAAACAGAGATTTAAAAAATTAATCTGCATTGAAAATGTCATTTAAAATCATTAAGTTTTCAAAAAATCCGATTACATCTAGGTATAATTTTTTTCCTCAAAAAAAAACATATTAGCGAAGATAGTTTAAGGATGCAAAACTATAGAACTACAAGACTGAAACATGAATCTGCCACTTGCCAGAACATTCAAGCTGACATAGAACATGAAATACCTACCTGTCTAGTTTCAGGTAGCTAAATCTGCAAGTATATAATTTTTATAGAACAATATTAATTTCTAAATCTATTACTTTAATAAATAAAATTGTTCGAAATATTTTTTAAATAAGAGAGAAGCAAATGGAAAAATAGCAGATAACATAATGTATATTGAAATGCAGATATTGACTCACCATCATAATCTACTGATCCGTCCCCTTTGATAGGCGGCAGAGGTGGTTCTTTACGTTTATCTCCCGTGACACTTTCTACAGACGAATGTAATCGCTCATTATCTGAATATCTAAAAAAAGAAATATTTATATATTATCGAATTTTTTATCAAATTTTACAGATATAAGTTCTCTAATAAAAAATATACCACTTAATGTACTACAAGAAAAACTGCACGCATAAAAAAAGATGAATTTTATTTTTAGATAAAAATTAACTTATACTTACAGCGTAATATGATTCTGGACTGCCGGAGTAGCAGTTGGTATTTCATCCGCGGCATCAAAGTAATCGTCATCCTCATCAGAAGAAGAGTACGAGAATTGTGGTACTGGTAGATCCCTATCAACAACTAAAGATGCAAAGTGACACTGCAGCCATTAATAAGATTGAAATATGTTTAATATTAAAACGTAGAATAAATGTTGCAATTAACCATTTGATAATGTAGGTACTCTCGGTTCCACACATTCGGAGCCTAATTCAATACCAGTTTGCACTGTCGCTTCTGGTGCCCTAGCTGCAACTAAAATTCAGATTCTTAGAAATATAGTTATTCTCAATGCATTTATTTAAAAAAAGAAATGTGATTTTTCTCAATTAGAAAGTCACGAATAAGCCTTGATATTTTTGTAGCAAGCAAATCTTGAATTTTATTTATCATTGATAGAATAATTGACATTGAAAATGTCATTCTATCTTATTTGTTCTTCTATTTTTATCTCATTTGTTTTTTTCATTATACTTCTTAGGGGGCTATCTGGACAATTTTTAAGAGATAAATAGGTTTTTGTATCAATTATAAAAACATAATCTTAAACAATGATCTTGTAATTAAGAAACATTATATTACATACATATAAATCTTACCATGAGGAAGTGAAGGTGAGACATGTATAGAATTTGTTGGTCCTCTATATACTCCATTAACAGGTATCGCTGTATTCTGAAAATATTATTTAAAACATGCAAAATTAAAATTATATATACATAATAAAAATTATATAATAAAAAAACAGATATATAATGTGATACAAGTACCTTTGCAATTTGCAATTGGACAATGGTATGTTTAACAGAATTAAGCATGGCGTTAGCTTGCGACAGAATATCAGAATATTTCTTTTGCTTTTCTTCATCTTCAACTGTATTCCTTTTACCTTCAATCAACTTGATTTGTTCAATCAAAAGTTGAAGATAAACATCAGCTTCAGCTACCTTGCGATCGAAATCATGCTTAGGTGGTGATTTCTTAGGGTCCCATCTCTGAAACAATTAATTTGTATAAGCTTGTATAGTCCTACAAAATTATCTTACTTTATATCATTTTATTATTCTTTTGTCATTGTATTAGAAAAGATGTAACAATTATTTTTATTTTTCATGTGTATAGGTTTTTTTTTTATAAAAACAGATATATATTGAATTAATATACACTTTTGGTACTTAAAGTGAAACAGATATATATCTGAAATTTGACGAAAGAGGAAATAGGATATAAGAAGGAAATTCCTGCAGTTTAGTGAAGCGATAAAAATAAACCTTATTACATGAGTTTGCATTTGTATACATACTGTATGTGAGTGACGGAGTATTGTGTCTTCCAAGGCACGAACCCAGCGTTCTCGTTCCTCGCCATTGCGCGTTTGAAAATGAAATGTTTTCGGATCATCCTTACAGGAGTTCGTTGTTATAGTAAACGTACTATCATCTTCGTCATCGATGCCAATAATAGCGCCTCTCAATCGTACGCAACCACGACGTGCTCCACGCATCATCTTCTCCTTGCTCTGAAAAGGAGAAACAAAAGAAAACAGATCAGACAGATAACCTAAAGATCATTTGAGAAGAACAAGGTTATTAAACGTGCAACACATATTGTGAGGGAAATCGGGAATGCGTTGAACGAGTCATAAGTATCTTTACCGTGTAATATGACAGAAGGCCTGCATTGTCATCCAAAACAAACCATCGATATTGCCATCCGTTAACAACGTTCGTCCACTTGCTGAGCGAACCCTCCATCGTCGACATTCTTATTTATTGCTTCGTCGATCGGCCGGTATGAACTGCTATCGATTTTCACGTATCTCACAGCATATTTTCGACGGAATCACATATAAATTCTGTGAATAACGGAATATTATCGCGTCATCCTAATCTTGAGTATAAATCATTGCATCCCGCATTTACAGATTAAAGTTCGGTTCATACGTCAACCAAATGCACTGCGACGCGTTTTCATGAGAGAATCTTTCGTTCTAAAGCAACATTTTTTAAACAGATATCCCATATATGTATACGATTTCGATCCGATTAATTATTGGTGATCAACTTGTTATATCAAACAATATAAAAATCTGGAAAAATTCTTATTTATGAAAATTAATAACTTTAATCAATCAAATTTTTACTATCATAGAAGTTGGATTATATTTTACTTATTTTTTACATTTTGAATTATACATACATATTGAAATTTCTATCAGAAATCATAATAAAAAGATCGATTGCGTCAATTTACCAACAGAAGATTAAATCAAGATTAAAGTTAACTTACATTGATAAAAAAGAACAAGAATCTGCAGCAAAATAATTCCCTATTGTCCATTGTAATATATGCGTACATTATAGATTATAACTTTCGAATCATTTTTTTCATATGTTAAAAACAAATACAAATGAAACTATAATAATTCTATCTACATTAAAATACAACAGATATTGCAGTTATAATTAATAATTGATTAAATTAATCGGAGTTTGAAGAAGTCATGATGTTCGAACAGAAATTATATGCTATAGAAAGAATACCATACTTAACAAGATACAGAATTTCTTGACTAACACAATAGGCTCATCTGATTTAAAAGATATATCTAATAGAATAAATATGAAATATATCTATTCTCTAATAGACTAAACACGTGCACGTGCATCGCTTTTACATGACTTACATCACGTACGCATGAATATCAAATGTCAAATGGATGTTTTATTTCCTGATAGCATTATCGCGCAAGGTTTACCGATTTTATCGACTCGTAGGAACATAAAGGATTGCAGGTGCAAGGTGGAAGTATAATACAGTATAATAGAATACTCTAAGCTCTCTGCTAGAGTTCTAGCAGCTGCCACGTAATTAACACAACTGTTGTGTAGAGAACAGAGAGAAAGAGAGAGAGAGAGAGAGAGAGAGAGAGAGAGAGGGAGAGGGAGAGAGACAGAATTCGGAGGGTATGCGTAACGCATGTTTCCACACTTTCCACAGTCATGTCAATTCGTGTTCGTTAGAAATGTCGATGGATACACGTATGCAGTAATGTGCACCGCTATACATACGTAATCACGAACGCTTATCATAATGAGACTCTCACACCGCGGAGAAAAGGAGGAAACATAGCGTTTGAAGAGAAAAATAGAAAAAAAAGAAGTAAAACGCCGGTCGATCTCGCCAATCTCTGCTTTCCATTCCTTGTTTCGATTGAATCGGAGGTACATATGTATACTTTCTGTGTTACGTTACGGTAACTTTATTTAACGTGAAAACATTGTGTCTCGCTCGTTATTGGCGATTATTTATCGTTTGCTTAGAAATTTTGAATTAGAAATCTATCGCTTTCTCTCCACAATAAAGGTTACATTATCGCATATAGCTTCTCATGTTTAATGTCACTTTTGGTAAAGTTCATTCTCTTTCAAGATTGCGGCAATAAAGCTTTGAGTTTTTTATGTCTATAAAGTATAGTATAATAGTAACAGATCTATTTTTTATAAGTTAAGCCAGTTTTAACTTAAGTAAACTTAAGTAAAGTTAACTTAAGTAAGTTATAACTTAAAGTAAAATATATGTTTCATATTTGACGAAAGCAAGAAAGTTGTAGTGTAGTCTAGTGCAGGAATAAAAAATAAATCTTATGTTATTATTAGATATTATATTCCAAATATAGAATAGTGATGTTATAATATGTGGGTGTTTGTAGTTATAATGACAACACCTATGTGCGAGGATGGTGGACCGTTGAGAGAGTGGGCGCCACTCGCCGTCCTTCTGCAACAGATACCTGCCAAAATGCAAAATGGTATTTTTACACAAGACATCAGTTTTACCTGTATTGATGCTCTAACCGAGTTTATTGCCATTGGAACAAATCATGGGCTCATTTATTGGTACAATAGAGAAAAACAGGATCTGCAGAGATTACGTTGCGAGGTATTTAAAAAATTTCAGAGACCTACTATGTCTTTATTAAATAAAATTGTGCCACAACTGACTTGATAGAGTAATATCCTTTTTCTCTTATTGCAGAATGTAAACTCCAAAATTACGAGTGTACAAGTGATCTCTACAGTTGATTATATGGTTGCAGCAGGCAATGAACATGGCGTTGTTACAGTTTTTCAAATTCCCAAAAATCCGCCAGACTCATTGCCAAACAGTTTAAAACCAAAACAAAAGAAGCAGGTAAATTGTAAAAATGAAACTTATGTACACATACATGTATAATATAAAAATGATGTATGAATATCTTGCTATTATTTTTTACAAGGTCGAAAGGTACAGCATAAGTGGCTTGCATAATACTGCAGTGACAGCAGTGGAGTGGTCTAAGAATGGTATGAAATTATTCAGTGGAGATAAAGATGGTTTAGTAGTTTTAACAGAGATTGATTTTTATATGGTAAGTAAATACTGAAAGTTTTTTCTATTTTCTTTTATTTTCTCATAAATATAAACATTTTGTGAACTTTATGCTATTTGTAGCATTTATCGAAATCATCGAAATTGTTGAACGAAAAATATTCAGTGGTACAATTGAGCTATCAACAAGGCTTGCTATTAGTCTCGACAACGTTACGTACAATTTTAGTGAACAGAAATGAAAATGGAAAAGTGACACAAGTTGGTCAAAAAGAACGTAAAACGTTAGTATTTTTATATTCAATTTTCTCATTTTCATAAAATAAAGAAATATAATTTGGTGTTTTAGATTAGGTAAATTAGGAGCAGTGTTTGGTTCTCGACAAATTTATATGCAAGAACCGCTAATCTATGCAAGTAGACCAGGATTACGTTTATGGCAAGCTGATAAGGCTGGGACTGTACTGAAAACACTCATATTTAAGGTATCAAATTAACATACATATGCATTCAAATTAAGTCAGCATTATTTTATGTTATCAAATTATGAATATTCTTAAAAGGATGCAGTTAGATCGGGTCATACAGAAGTGGCGTTATTAAATCCTGCACCCGAAGGATCGAAAAAGAATCGTGGCGAACCCTCGTTTGGCATCGTGTTACCGTTTTATGATGATTTATTAATAACGTACTGTGATGACGTAGTTTACGTAGTAAATCCGAATACTATTGCAATAACATCGATTGTAAACGATTTACGGCACGTTACCGATGTAGCTTGCACTAAAGACGAAATATTTATATTGGAAGGAGAAAGAAATATTTTGCGAATTTCCTATTACCCGGAAAATGATATTTTTACAGGTGAGCACAATTATTGTTTCTCCAACTTAGATATAATTAGGTACAAAATTGTCATTGAATTATCTTTAAATTATTATTTTCTTGCAGAAGAAACAAAAAAGACAATGGATTCTTTATTATCATTTGCTGAATACAGTAAACCTGTTACTAATGGTATATTAGAACTAACTTCGAAATTAAAAGAAAGTAATATAGTGCCAGCTATTCCTTTTCCTAAAATCGATCCAACCAATATTATTCAATCTGTAGGGTAAGTAAAAAATTATTTTTAGAATAAAAAAATATATATGTTTATAAAAATTATACAACATATTAGAATTAACAATTAATTTTTTTTCAATATGATTAAGTTAAAAATAATGAATCAAATTGTAGCATTGTGCCAACTGTTGGTATCGATACTGATGACGTGGTTATAAACGCAGAAGAAGCTGTGGAAGTGCCGCCGATAGTCCCAATAGATATAAATACTCCACTTGTAACTAATATTAACAAAATACCAGAATACAATGATAATAATAGAATAAAAAATGCAGAAGACGTAAAGAACAACGATCGTCGAGAAATATTCCAAAGAATTGGTCAACAGGAATTCGAGGACGTCGTTTTCACACCCGAAAGAAAACAGAAAAAATTTCGAAATAAAGTAATGAATGGAAGCGAAAGTGTTACAATGTTAAATGGCACTGATTTATCGAGCAGTCTAAGCACCGATCATGCGAACACCAACAAGACAATGACGACCCATTCCTCTTTAATGCAAATTAGCTTTGATGATGATTTTATATTGAAGCCGGATAGAGATTTAGAAACGATTCAACGCGATGTGGAAGACAAGGAGAAGCTGTTAGCAGATCTTCTGGATTTTGATTTGTCTAAATATATGACAAGTAGTCGAATAGACAAGGATGATTTGAGTATATCTAATCATATGGATACTATAACATGCATCAATTGTAACATACAATCCAACAATGTGGTGAACGAAGAGGAATCAATTACGAATGATGAAAATGAAATTGTCGAACAGAGCGATCATACGGGAACTGAATCAGGAGATGAAGATGTCAGTTATCGCACCGAATTAAAGCGATTAGAAGAACTCGGGGAATGTAGGAAGATTCTTTTACAAAATAAATTGGATGAGACTCCACCAACTGGTAATAATTTCGTCGATATTCGAAAAAAATCGTCCACAAATCAAGATGAATTAGAACATCAATTTAACGGTAGGTAATTAATGAATTATTGAAAATATATATAACACGATCAGCTACGGATATTACAAAATATTCTTGTGCATGTAGCTCTGGCAAAAGAATGTGCCACATCTGTTGTTGAAGAAGAAGAAGATTGGGTTTTAGTCAAGGACGATATACCATCGATTATATTTTAAGCAAAAAATACGTAGTAGTTGTCTCTCGTCTTGTACATATGTCATATATATTATTAAAAAGTAATTAAAAAATAATTAGAAAATTACATGATATATGATATAAGAGTGGTTTTGGAGTAAATTCTTTTATTATTTTTTCTTCTATATAGGACATGTTTTATTAATTGTCGAGTTAAATTTTTTTTTTTATTTCGGTTATCAAACGCCGATAACGTATAAATTATTGGACGAGAAATACTGTTTAAAATATTTTATAATTTTGGATATTATACATGTAGTATGAGGCACACACTAATGATTAAAAAGACGTGCAAATATAATTATAATTAAATTGCAATTATAATTATTCTCATTAACAAACAAAATTATATTTCGTAAATATCATCGAAAGATAATACTAGTCACTGCTTGTATTTTAACATAATAATTAATGCATAATAATTGTTTTAATTGTTAATTATGTATAATTATTAATATATTTATGTAGATTAATGAATGTAATCTTTTACGAATTGCATATTATGTAAAATTATGTTTTAGCTCCATTATTTAATATAGTAAATTCAGTAATCACTTAAGTTTACAATTTGTTGAAATATGCGTATATATTTTACTATTTTGGGAAAGCAATGTATAATGCAATCCTCAGGTATATATCATATTTAACACGTATTTTGTATAATCAAATAGTATTTTTACATAATACCAATCAAGCACACAAAGATATACTATTGGTATAGTATATCATTACCACTCAATCTTGTTATAAATTGTTACAATTTTTATTTAGCAAAAGTTTTACGTAATTTACGTGTTCATCATTGATGACATTTTTATATTATAATGTTTTAAGTTTATATATCAGACAAATAGTGATCTTTAAGACACTAGGCTTAATATTTTTTACGCTAGTATCTACTTATTGTTATTGTTCGTTTGTCTCTAGTATATACATAATTCTGTTTATGAGTGGAAGAAAAACAGAAATATAATATGTGAGAATCTTATGTATTGCATGGCTCTAAAGTATCACTTCGCCACGCATTATTAATACACTGCAAGATACGAAAAGTTAAATACAAACGATTGTTAACGAATAATTAAACATTTATGTAATTGTATCAAAAATAATTAATGCTTTATCAACTATAAAAAATAAAATCAAGTTTTAAAGTTGACTTATTATTTTTTTTCCTATTAACATATTCGTTTAATATAAAGAATAATCATTGCGGATTTAGATTACTTGATTATATAGTTTTATTTCTGCTCGATAATTTACATAATATTCAAATATATGTATATGAGTATGCAACATTTTCCTTCGTTCCTTTATATTCTTATGCTTCTATTACACTGGGGTTTCAATGAGGTCAGTGTACATTTTAATTTTACTAGCGATACTCATGTCTATGTATTTGTCACCTACTGATATTATCATACCGCCAATGATAGAGGGATCTACTTTGGTAGTGAGCAAAGCGGTTTCACCTTTCTTCAATAAACGTTTCAATGTAGATTCCAGTTTCATCTTCATATCAGCATCAAGTGGACTTGCGGTAATTACTTCGCATACTACTTCCCCTCTTTTAGCAGCCATAAGTATCTTGTACAAATTGATTATTATATTGAGTTTCTCCAATTGACCATTCTCTGTGAGTAACGCCAGCAAATTTTCAGTAGCTGGATTCATGCCAGTCTTACTTCCGATGACTTTAAAAGCTTCTATCTTATCTTTTTGCTTTATCGAAGGATTTTTTATAAAATCTATCAGTGCAGTATCTTTTTTTAGAAGACCCTGATTCAAACACAAACACAACAATAATTAATGTTGAAATAAACACCTGATGTACAACTTTTGTTTATATAGATCATACCTGGAAACTGATTAAATCCTTTTCCACTACATCCAAAGTCTTTTGTTTACTTGCAGCTGAGAAAAGAGCTGTGGCATATCTGCCTTCTAATCCAAAAACTTGAACTGGAGGCTGCAATAATGCATCAAATAGGATAAAGATAATTGACACGTATATAAACAATTGTTTATGGAATTTATACTATAAAATGCTGCAAAACAATTGAAGAATTTCCTGCAACAGTTAACCACATTTTACAAAAACAGAATAAATGAATTGTGAAGTTAAAGTGCTAAGAAAATATAAATATCACTAAATTTAGAGTTTATTTACTCTGTTTTTATAAAATATGGATTAGCATTATTATAGAAAGAACCTCTAATTGTAGAATTCAAAGCAAAAGTGTGCAAAATCACTTTCAGAAGATTTATAGAATTGATTCGTGGACTATCAAGAACAGAATGTAGTCACTTGTCAAAATTAAATACCTTCACCATCTGCTGCACGGCAGTTGACGTGAAAAAATTACGTGTCTGAAATGAGAATCATTCGCATTATTGACAAGTAATCGAGTAGCGAAATATTTAAGAAAAATTTGTGTTTAGTACAAATGATAAATATACTTCGATTTATGTGAAAATATACGTTATATTTATATTTTATATTTATAAATATTCTAAACAATATAAACTGATGCCGAGGCAATCTAAAAACGTTTTAATGTCATAACGCATAATTTACTCACAATTAATCTACCAACAGACATTTTTATAATCTTGCTGCGATCAAAGGAATAAAATTCAGGCTTCAAGCAGCCACCATTATATAATGCGAGAGTGTATAGGAGCCAGATGGAATCCGTTTAGTGGCGCCTCTATGACTTATGAGCACAAAACATTGAACTACATAATCACAGATATTTTCCAGCGGGTAATACGGTACGTATCGTACGTATTTTCTTTAATTTGTCTCATGTATCATATCTGTAAGTATTAAAATGAAATGAAATAACAATAGATCCATTCGTGTTGCTTGAAATTCTCAAAAAAATTTGAACTTAAAATAAGGTAGATATATTTGCGCGGAAAAAAGAGAATGCGAAGATATCGAGTGCAAAAAGTGCAATTAACGCGAACAGATCTAAAGGATCTAGTTTCCTATGGAGAACGAGGATCTAATTTGTCTAACGTGTGTAAGATGTCGTTAGGATTTACTTTCAAAAGTTGCGTAAGTTGCTTTTAGAATAGAATTTGCGGTGAATCTCGGGTTTGTAATGCAATTTCATGTTTCTCGTTACATTACATACATTTTAACACTATAAGTATCAACGCTTCATACTCACTAAAAAGATCAAGTAAATAAATTATTTTTAAACTAAAGGAAGCGATAAAAAATATTTTATTAGTAAAGAAATAATTAATTATTGAGCATAATCAAAAAATCTCAGAATTCTATCTTTTATATAATATTAATTTAAAAAATAATGGTCAATAATTATCGCTTAGTAATATTAATATGTGTGCGTTAATTACACGAGCTTGCGCTCGTGATAAACGAGAATGGAAAAAGGAAAAAGCATAGGAGAAAGAGAAGAAGAAACGAGAACACAACGTTTACTTTTGGTGAGTGTACTTTCCTCTCCAATTTTCCAAAACTTTTTAACCTGTGATGGTCACAGCACTACAAATATATAGTTTTTTTTTGTTCTGGAAAAGGAAAATAAAAAATATTATCCAGAAGTTTTGAAGTTTATTACTTTTACATTTCTCTATTTCTCATGTACAAGGACATAATTAATCTTTAATACTATACACGATTGGCGTCATTCGTGTTCTGCGCATTTCTTTTTTTTTTTTTAAGGAGTGCTAAATAAGCAGTTATAATATTTATGTACAATTTTTAAATATAATTATATATAACTTCATTTTTTTTAATATACAATCTTACAATTACGTTATAGATATTTTTTAAAGATGTTCAAATATATGCAAGAATCACGTAATTATTTTTGCTTGTCAAAGTGATGTAAATTAATTTGGAGCACGAATGATGATCATCATCTATAATAAAAAATCTGGAAAATCGTTGTGCATATATATATTAAGAATTCATGTGAAAAATATTTAATTACAACATAATATAATAAAAAATATTACTGTACAAGTAAAAATTTTTAAGGATGAGCATCTTATTTTCCAACTTATATCTTTAAACTATCTACCTACTTAGAGATTAAATCTATCAAGCTACTTATGTCCTTGATTCTGGTGGACTATATTCAAAGTTTATATATATTCATAACATCGTGTAGCTTGTTTCGGCCGAGATAAGCGGTATATGTCTATTTTTATTAATGCAACTTAACTTATCTCAGCTTAATTTACTCCTTATATTTTTCTTAGAACTAGAAGAAGATAAAAAGTAAGTTAAACCAAGATTAAAGTTAATCTAGATTGGTAGAAACGGGCAATAGACAGTTTATTTTTCATCTC